TGCAAAGTCGGAAGTTCAAAACCACCAGCTGCTCCGTGAGAGAAAGAAGGAGCTTTCTACTCCAGTAGAGTCTTGGAAACTCACAGGGCAGTTCTACCCAGCACTCTGGGGACTTTTGGCAGGGACTTTGGGGCTTCAGGGTCTCTTCCTTGAATACCTTCTGTAAGTTTGAGGTGTCTCTCTCGAAGGCAGCAGATTGATGAGTTTTGTTGTCTAATCCAGTCTGCTACCCTTTGTCTTTTGAATACCTTCTAAATAAAAGCTTCTCTTTCTTCTTCTTCAGAGTGAGTAAATTGGCTGCGAAGCTCCTGGCTGAAATACCTGCCTTCCAGGTGACAGTATGTTAAGCCCAGCGACATGTAATCGAATTTTTAGTCTGCTATATAAAAAATACTTTATCATTTCAACGTGTCACCAAGGCAAACCAACGAATGGAATATTTTACATTCTTTATTCAGACTGTCTTTGAAATCAGGGTGTACTTTAGACTTACAGTACGCACATCTCAGCTCGAAGTTCAGCACGGCGGCTCTTAAGACCCTCCCAGATAGAAAGTTAAAGTGGGGGGGGGAGGGCACACTGCGAGGCTCGCAGGGCACACTGTCTTCCGGGACTGCAAGGGTTAAGCCCGAGCCGGGCGCGCTAAGTGGGCGGGGCTTGCTGGTTTCCTCGGCTCTCGGGAGCGTCCGGGAGGCGTCATCCCACGCACCCGTGGGGGCCGACGGGAACGGTGAGCGCGGGCCCTGCTAAGCATGCTGGGAGTGGTAGTCCGCGGCCGTCCGCGCCCCGGTCTGCGCGTCAGGGCCGCTCCCGCCGCGCTCCGGTTCTGTTCCGCTGGGCCGCACAAAGTTTCCGTTCTGCCCGGTCGTGGGCTCGCCGGCGCGTAAGTGCTGCGGGGGTCCGGCTGGGCTCTGGGGGGGTGCCCGGCCTGAGCCCCGCGCCAGAGCGGGGAGCTCCCCGCCGAGCGCGCCTATCACCTGTTGCCTCAGCCGTCTGTGCCCTTCCTGGGTCTCCGCCGGACCCCGCCAGGCCCTGGGGACCCGCCCGGCCCAGCAGCCTGGGAAAGCACCCCGTGCCAGCGTCCAGGGGCTGGTCCGGGACCCCAAACTGCCTCTGGTGATCAGTTAGAAAGACAGACCCCAAACACGAGTTCCCCGACTCCGCCTGGCCTTGACGCCGGCCCTTCCCTTGACGTCGCAGAAGCAGCCCGGATCCTTGAGGGAGAGGGGGACGGCTGTCCCCCAGCAGCTGCTGACCTTAGTAAACGGAGTTCTCGGACTCGCTCGGGCCAGGACTGTCCTGCTGACCCCTGCTGGCCCGGTCCTCCCTCCCTCCTAGGAAGCCTGTTTGTCCCGGACCGGCTCCGCCAAGGCCGATTCCCCCCTCCGCTGTGTCCGCGAGGCCAACCAAGTGCAGGGGCTCGGAAAAGCCCCCAGGAGCTTCTTCAGTATCTTTGGGGTGGCCTGTGCCTGTTGTGACGGGTCCGTGGGCTATTCTGAACCTAGGTTCGGCGGGGTCAGGAGGAGGAGCTGAAATTTATTTCCCCGAAAAACACGTTGGGTTTGCCTTCTGAATGCCCCTAGCCAGTTTGCATCGTATTTTATTGGCTGCTCCTTCCAGGCAGAGAGAGCGCGCACTTGTTGAAACTGCGCGTATTGGCCACAACACAGGGCTTGTCTGACCACAGCAGTTTCCTCTAAGGACAGAGAAGTGGGTCAGGGGCTTTTGGGGGCAGAGGATGAGGCTTTAATCTGCTCAGCGCCTGTCTGTCACTGCTGCTTCTGTGGTCGGTTTCCTGTGCAGTAAGCTCAGCCTGTCGACCACCAGCCAAACCTGGTTGGGTTACACGGGGGCTGCCTTGCGAGGTTGATGCCTTCCACCCTCTGCAGTGGCCCCCTGTTTTGTGAGCTCCCCTCAGTCCCTTTCTGTCAGCCACTGTGTGTGAAGTGCTACCTGATGGACCATTGTTAGGATCACCTGAAATCAGAGTTAAAAAGGACCCGGAAAGCTGCTTTGTTTTTAGGCCAAAGGTTTTTGTTGTTATTTCTTGTTTGGGGTTTCTGCTAAGACCCCCCACCCTGCATTTTTGTATTAGGAACATTGTCCAAAGCATTTTTAAGAATTGAATAGTCAACAGCCAGGGGCCTCGGTCTAGGGCAGCTGCAGGAGCAGGGGCCTGGGGGCTAGGACTCTAATTAGGCTTTGTGAATATGCAAGCCTCTTCTTTCCTACCTCCTATGGCCAAAGGCTATCTACCACATTCTAGAGTCGGGGTGCAGGGCAAACCAGATAAAAAGAGGTCAACTGACTTGCCCAGGTGGATACATTCACTAAAATCATCCACACCCTATCAAGGCAAAGTCTTCATGTCATTATCGTCCTTTGCATGATAAATGCAGACATCCTTTGCTGTCCAGTGGGTGCCAACTCCTGGCTACTTTGCACTCCATCTGCATTCCCAGTGGCTGCCATACTATGGACTAAGGACTTGGGTCTCCAGGCCTGCCTTCCACTGGGGCTGCTGGAGGATTTGAACCGTCAGCCCCACCATTTGTAACTGGCAGCACACTGAGCTATTCACAGACCTGTTTGCATGATCCCAAGCCAAACTACCTGCTGTCTAGTTCATTCTGACTCATCGTGACCCTATAGGACAGGATAGAACTGGTCCGGCGGGTTTCTGATAGGCAGTGTTAATTTTACATTCCCATTCTCGTTCAAGCTGACCGGGAAGATGGCATAGGATTGGCCAGTGTTTCGCTCATCACGAGCCAGCCAGCTTGATGGCAACTAGCTACCCAGCAACTAAGCATGATTGTCAGCTCTAAACAGGGTCAGAAGAGGCAAACACCTAGCCACAATTCGTCAAAGAGAAGACCAAAGTCTTGCCCTGGTTTGACCCCTGCTGAGACGTTGCCCTCCCTCCTCGGTGATGCTCACCAGATCCCCAGGCCATTCTGATGCACCCATACTGCTGAAGTGTAAATTCTGAGTCAAGATATCAAAAGCTGACATGCACGCCTTCTGCAGGAGATCAAACCGGAATGAACTAGTTCACAACCCTGGTATTTAAGGAGAGTCGGGTCAGGAAGGGTAGAGTAAGACACACCAACATGTAGTTCCTACATTAAAGTATTCCATTCACTCTTGGAATAATCGCCCCACAGCCATTGGGACTGGTTGGTGAGACTCTGAGTCATTACTGGAGCGGAGAGGCTGGTGGGCTTGTAGTCAGCCGAGAACAGCACACAGCACCGTGATATTTCACAGTGACAGAAGTATGATACCCAAAATTGGAATTTAATTTTAAACTGCATGATTGTAGTCAACATAAAAGAAACTTATATACTAAACCAAAACTAAAACCCAGTCATCGAGTCAATTACAAATCAGAACGCCCTGTGCTGGGTTTCCGAGGCAACAAATCTTTCCAAGAGCAGAGCTGCTAGTGGGTTTGAACCACCGACCTTGCTGTTAGCAGTCTAATGCTTACCTGACGACACAATAAAGAAAAGTAACAGAATCAGAGAAATTGGATTTTTGGAAAATCACCCTTGTTCTGCCCAGAGGTGATGAGCATTTATGTTGTGGTTCGTTTCCATGCCTGAAGGTTTAAGTTAGTGTGTGGAGGAAGGATCTAAGTGTGTTTTGTCTAATGTATTCATTTGTTCCTTCAAGGAATCTACTGAGGGGTTCTTGTGTGTTGGAACTGCTAGGTCCTGTAGACACGAACAGCCAGACGAGGACGGAAAGAGCGCGGAGAGTCCGAACCTTAAAGCACCTGTGCTTTCATCAAAGCCGCTAGCAGACTTCCAGGGCATTTCTTGTTTGTGAGCGTTCTGAAGTGGGTGCTGTCTCTCCCCCGCCAAGTGCACACTCTGTGAGGGCCAGGGCTCTGCAGCCATGTTGACAGCACAGGCCAGTGCCCAGAGGAGGACCCACCTCCTCATAGTTGGAGCATAGGAAATATGGGGGAGCATAGGAAACCCTAGGGGATGCTGCTAATAGATAATGCCCCTGGATGCTCCCTGGAAGGTAGGTAGGTAGGTAGGTAGGT